ATAATTATCAAAGCTGTTTGTTCTAATATAAAAGTAGTTTTAATTTTAACGTAGACCGTGTCCATTTTTAGGTTTGCACTTCTGTGACCCAGTACTAAATGACAATTTAAAGAAAATGATACACCGACACGTAACTCTTAATTTCAAAATGTCTGACAAGTATTACTGCAAATATCTGATATTGGAAATCAGTGATCGATTAAATATCCAAAGCAGATAGAAGACATAAAATATGTCTACTCAGTCGAGTTTTAGTTATTTCTTTCTTTCTGTAGTTGATGCATTCATAATTGTTTTCAGGTTTATGGTTGACCTGTTTTTAATTTATACCAAGACGTTGACATGCTAATTAAATAAATGACTTGATATTATAAATTCAATATAAAAAATAAAGCCCAACCTTTTCATTCATCTTATTATTCCTAAATATTTGAATCTTAAAAGTGAAAATGTACAATTGTTTTTAATTAACTCCTTCTATGACTGATATGTTTGCTTTAAAGTAAGGAGACCATTTATTATGAGGCAAAACTTGAAGGTTATTTTACTACGAATAAACAACTGTGTTTGGCAGATAAATGAACCTTACAATTGTGCAAGCTTTGACCTAGTATTAACCATAAGAGACGTTGTTAAGTAAAAGAGAGGCCACAAATAAGTGCCTACGGCTCAAGGCATTTAAACTCTAAGCCGAGAATGTCACATTATATACCCTGTGTGAGACCTGAATAACATATAATATAATGTATTGGTATACGCCAAAAAAGTGTAAAGAAAAACAACACAAAAATATCAAGTAAAAAGTACAATTATCAATAAATGTATTGGATACCCGATATTTTGTAGGATGAAAAGTGGAGTTTTATAAATCTTTATTGATTTTCATACTTATAGAAAAGTTTTTGGTGGAATCCTAGTTCATGTAATTAAGCATTTGAAATATATGGGACTGCGAAATTTTACATCCCAAATAACACTCATCTAGCTGTTGTTTTTAGCACTGCAGTCTTTGAACTACACTTGTTTTTACTAGATTGATTCTCTACTACCTAGACCAAAGCTTTATTGTGATTAACGTAATAAATAGTCAGGCGATTGTGATATCTCTTAGTTTTGTCAGAAGATCTCAAATGTCGACTAAAAGACAATCTTGCTGACTTTTCTTACGAATTCTATTCTTCGTTCAAAAATAGCAATTATAAATGCACGACACATTTCAATTGTACAGTATTAACTCCTTCTATGACTTATATGTTTGCTTTAAAGTAAGGAGACCATTTATTATGAGGCAAAACTTGAAGGTTATTTTACTACGACTAAACAACTGTGTTTGGCATATCAATGAACATTTCAATTGTGCAAGCTTTGACCTAGTATTAACCATACGAGTCGTTGTTTAGTAAAAGAGAGACCACAAATACCAAACAGACATGTAAGAAAATATATTCTGCATTGTGAATGTTTAACAAGTCTTACAAATACCTGGTACAGAAAAAAAACGTGGAGGCAGGGGTAAACCGTAATATATGTAACATTCAGGTCTCAGTCAAGGTATATAATGTGACATTCCCGGCTTAAGGTTTATATCCCCTTCGCCTACGGCTGAGGGAATTGAAACTCTAAGCCGGGAATGTCACATTAGGTAGTTTTATAATTATCAAAGCTGTTTGTTCTAATATAAAAGTTGTTTTAATTTTAACATAGACCGTGTCCATTTTTAGGTTTGCACTTCTGTAGCCCAGTACTAAATGACAACTTAAAGAAAATGATACACCGACACGTAACACTTAATTTCAAAATGTCTGACAAGTATTACTGCAAATATCTGATATTGGAAATCAGTGATCGATTAAATATCCAAAGCAGATAGAAGACATGAAATATGTCTACTCAGTCGAGTTTTAGTTTTTTCTTTTCTATCTGTAGTTGATGCATTCATAATTGTTTTTCAGGTTTATGGTTGACCTGTTTTTAACGATACCAAGACGTTGACATGCTAATTAAATAAATGACTTGATATCAAAAATTCAATATAAAAAATATAGCCCAACCTTTTCAATCAACATCGTTCAACTTATTATTCCTAAATATTTGAATCTTGAAAGTGAAAATGTACAATTGCTTTTCATTAACTCCTTCTATGACTTATATGTTTGCTTTAAAGTAAGGAGACCATTTATTATGAGGCAAAACTTGAAGGTTGTTTTACTACGACTAAACAACTGTGTTTGGCATATAAATGAACCTTACAATTGTGCAAGCTTTGACCTAGTATTAACCATAAGAGACGTTGTTAAGTAAAAGAGAGGCCACAAATACCAAACAGATATAAAAAATCATAAGTGAAAAACGACCTGACAACATCTAGTTGTATGTGTAAATAATGTCATTTGTGTTAACTATAAACGAAGATGCGACTTTTGTAAGGCCTTAATTACCCCCTTGATTTTTATCTTGTGTTTAAGATTTGACATTCTTATGGTTTTCTAGTGTTACATTTATAAGACATTTAAAACACTAAACAACCATTCCTTCAATTGATGGAACGTGAATCTTATAACGATATTACATGTATAATCTCAATTGCCTTTGGGAAATGGATCAACAATTATTTTATCCTCTGTTGCGTGAGACTTATAGCGATGCCACAAGCATGAAATATGGTGAAAAATGATCGAGGATTGTGTAGCAAAAATTATACAAAAAGTTATAGTATAAATGAATTAGACAATACTTTCACAATAATTACCTCCTAAGGAAGATCAAGAGTTAGTGTTTTAACAAATCTATAACAAATAACTTAGATTAAAACAAAAGTTACATTCGTTCACTTTTTCTGCAGAAACCGTGCCTGTTTTTGGGTGAATGTACCGTTTATTTACTGTAATAAGACAATAAAAGATTATGAATGCACTTACTAATCATCAATTATATCATGCAACAAATTTAATATATCAGACTCAATAAAGCATATATGATAAACGTTGACGGTTGTGACATGTGAAGCAGGAGATAATACTCTATTGAGGTATTATATTTACTCCTTTTACAGTTGATCCATTTGCAAATATTCGCAGTCGACTATTGATACGTAAATGAACATCAATTTGAATTACTTATAAATAGTGTTGTCAACGGTTAACCGGTTAACCGGTTAACCGTCGGAAGAACCGAATATCGAATATCGAAAACGTTAACAGGTTAACCGGATTTTTTTGAATTTTAATCGATTTGATATTAATGTGTATTGAAATCATTACATAATTTTGTTTTATCTTAAAATTATCGTAGTGGTAATTAATTTGACAGATCAATTTTCCAGTATATTGATTGCTATTGTTAATCCGAAAAATTAGAATTAATTAGAACGTAGACAACTTGTCTCAGCTCTGGGCAAGTTCTTAAATAAACATAATTAGTATACATGTCTTTTTAAACAGTAACTTTTAACCAGTAATCCGATTAGATTTTACGATTTACTTCATTATTTTATTTTTGATCTAATATTGCTTAGACCTTCATCTGAATGTGCAAACTCCATCGTGCAAGGCTTTGTCATACTTTAAACAAAATGCCAACTCAAAAATCATAGTGTGAAATGCAAATCAACGTGAATGAAATTAATGTATACTTGATGGTACGAGTAACAGGCTTAATCATTTAAAAAAAAAAGGCCCCACATTATTTTCTGAGACATCAATAGAAAATGAAAGAATCATCGGTTTCAGACATTTTCAATTCGACGAGATCATGAAGGTTTTTTATTTTTCGATCTGAAGTTGTTACAAACGCCATAGTAGATACGGTGGTATTGGATTATTAAAAGTCAAACTTCGCCAGGAATATTCACAGACAAGCCTGATAATGCCAAAGGACAAACTTCAATTCATCGTATTACAAAAACGTACATTTGTAGGGTACTATAGATAAGGCCTTCAAACATATCTACTAAAACTACCGGTAAACCGGTTAATCGGTCGAACGAATATCCGAGTAACTGGTTAGGCAAAACTGTACGATTTGACAACACTACTTATAAATATATGTATATATATATATAAATATATAAAAAAAAAAATGCTTCCGCAAATTTACAGATCTAACATTTTAGGGCTGATAGTTAGACGAATTATAAATATAAAATATAAAAGTATAATTCGTCTCAAACATAGCCCAACAATAATTGATCTTCAAATTTGAGTTAGAAACTTTTATTCTTCCCTCAGCTGGACTGGAACCCTAGCTTCTTTGCCAAAATGGCAACACTGCCTGCACGTGTCCAGTACCCTCGACCACTCGACCACATAGGCTACATAAAAATATAGCTTTCGGTGGTCGATGTTATGCCTTTCCTCGTCAGCTTTATCCTAGATAACGGTGGTACGTTCTGAACTGTTTGAAACTTTTATCTCAAGAGTAATTATCTTATACAGATTAAGAGGTCTCATGATTAATTTTGTTAATAGTCGCGCGACTTGCGAGTAGCCTTAGTGTTGTGAGGAGATCTCAAATTTTGACAGAGAAGTCTTAGTGATTAATGATTATAGAGATAATGATAGCAGAAAAGACTTTATGAAATAGCTGTCCTGACTCATCCGTATTATTATGACCATATTTACTCTATTGTAATTACATAATATTTGATGTCTTTCAAGAAACATGATTCAAAGTTTTTGCATATAATTATCTAAAGTTCTCCATCTTGTTAATACCTTAACCATGTTTACGTTATTTAAGATATTGACTGTGGTAAGATAAACAAATTGCAGTTTTGTTTGCGGTACTGTTACTTAATACATGTTTTGCGAAATTACGACGGAATAGGGTTCGCAAATATGAAAACGCGCATTTAAAGTTTAGTATAGCATTTTCTGTGTGTTATATTTCTTTAAATTGCTATTAAGCATCTCGTAGCTATGTCCATCGATCAAAAATAAAAATCATAGCCAACTTTGAAGTTTGTACACATTTATCAATTTTAAATGAAGATTAACACTTACATTCATTCAATCTTTCTACAGAGACTGTGCCTGTTTGTGGATAGGGATATCTGACCTTTACTGTAATGTGACAAATAGGCCAAATTATATCTTGACACTTATACCATCGTGATTTTGATTTCTACTCGTAGTAACACGACACAAAAATGTGTACTAACTGACTATCCTTGTCTATAAAAAATAATTTAAAAGTACTGTATACATTGCCATTTGATAAGGAACTTTCCGCTTTGATTTTTTTGTGGATTTTGTTTTTGTTTTTTTTATTCTACTTGTTTTTGTAAGAACTTTGAAAATAACCACTTTCTAATAAGATGTTGATATAATAAGTAGGTAGTGTCACGATTATTAACTATCAAATTTGTTTGTGTGTAAATATGTAAAGAGATTTTAATTTCTACAAATGCCATGTTCGTTTTTGGGAATGTACTTCTCTGTCCAACAGCACTTTGACAATATAAAGAAATTATTCACCAACACGTTACTTGTAATTTCATGTTTCTAATCTGACTAGTACTACTGGAAATATTCGATATTGGAATGAAATGATAGGTCAAATATCAAAAGCAGATAGAAGATCGAGTTTTCGTTTGTTTCTCTTTCTGAACTTGATAATATTTTTCAGTTCTATATTTGACCTGTTGATAACTTGTACTATGAGTTTGATATGCTCACTGAACATAGACCTATCTTAATCATGTGCTAGTATTTAAAAAATCCAATATCAAGAAGAAAGCACAACGTCTTCATTTAACATATTATTCCTAAATATTTGAATCGAGAAAGTGACAATCTATAATTGTCCTTCTATGACTGATATGTCTGCTTTAAAGTAAGATAATCATCTTTTATATGACGAAAATAGGAGATTATTATTTTCAAATGACTAAAGAACAGTGTTTGGTATATGAATTATGACATAGTATTAACCATAAGGAATGTTGTTAAGTAAATGTGTAAGCATACTATAGGCATAAACTATTTAGGAAGATACTGGGAAGCATGCAGTTATCTGGTATCTGGTATAATATACAGAACGCCTTGACCAGTCTTTGGTTTAAATATCTACCTTGTTTTCTTTTAAATCTGACATTCTAGGTTTTTTTCTTTTGTTGCATGCATACGATATTTGGAAAATAATTCAAAAATTTTATAACGATGACACGATCCCACGTGCCTTTTTAAAATAAATCAAATGTGATGTTTTCCTGTGCTGTATCAAGCTTTATCATATACTTGTAGAAAATAATGGTATAATTGTACCCCTTGATAAAACTAATGTAAACACATATTTATTCATTAAATTTGAAGAATTGTCTTAGCCGTGTAATATGACTTTTGTTATCAACTGCTTCCGGTATATATCAGCTGTTACCGTTTTATATCAACTGCTTCCGGTTATTATTACAAACCTTTCTTTAACGTAAACGCAAAGCATTTCGACATCATTCGGCAAATTCCGGAAAATAAACCTCAGTGATAAATTTTAGTGAAAAACGTAGCTAAGTAGTTTAAAAGAAGGAATATTAGGAAACAGGAAATATATTATTAAAAAATGAAAAAAACAAATAATACAATAAATGAATTTGAGAAAGTTTTAAAAAAAGTTGTCTGTATGGCTTCTGCTGAAGTATATGATAAAAAGCCTGTTGGGTCTCGGGATGATATCATGACCTAGGACTGATAAGGGGTCTGATATGAAAAACGTCATGTTATAATCTATATATATCGACACACAAGTGATAAATATGATGAAAAACAGACAGAGGAACAGTGTAAGCAAACCCCCCATGATCAATAATTAAGAAATATATTAGAACACATGCTTTTACAATAAGTACTTACTAAGGACGATCAGGAGCTACTGTTTTAACAAATCCATAAGAAATAACTACAAACTACAAACTAAAGGAAATTAAACTTACATTCGTGCACTTTTTCTGCCGAAACTGTGCCTGTTTGAGGGTAAATATACCTTTTAAGTACTGTAATAAAAAATAACTGTTGTTTTAAATATATTTGGGATGGTAAAAATGACAAAGTAAAGAGAAATATAATTATCGGCGAATATCAAAGAGGGGGATTAAAATTGTTGATTTAGATAACTATTTTAAGGCCCTGAAAGATTCATGGATTTTCAAATTTACAACCAGATTATCTGCCTAATATTTTAAGAATCTAAGTCAAATTTTTCTTATCTTTAACATGAATTTAGATAATGTGAAATCACTGATAAAAATTAAGAAAAACACAGGAATTTTATATGCAGGTAGTTTCAAGTCGGGTGAAAACAGGAGGAGGTTTGATGAAATTTAAAGATCATTTTTTAAATATCAGAAAAATATGGGGAAATAGACACATTAAACATTGCAACAAAAGCTTGTTCTTTCAAAACTGGGTGAAAAGTGGATTGATAAATATTAACGACATACTGGATAGCGAGGTAAAGCTATCACAGGTTTATACTTTAGAAAAGTTAAACGATAAGTCAAATTGGTTTGTAGACGTTAAGACATTAACATCCCCCATCCCGAAGGAATGGCAGCAAGTTTTGATTAAAAAATACTATAAAGGTTCAAATCAGTATTTATAAGTATTAAGTGAGATGAGAAAATAAACAAATCCAAAACAAAAGATATCTATGATAAAATGTTATACAATAGTTTAGCATGTTTAGTAAATGAACACAATTTACACATCTAATTGGTATCTATAGTCGGATAAGTTATTTAAAGTTAAATTACAGTCCACATATATCATTCGTAAACGATTTTATATTCAAATTTTTAAGAGGGAACAACATGAAAATTTTTAAATGGAACTGCTTCAGTCATGTTAGTATATTATTGCTACAAAGCAGTCTCTGTTTAGATGGAAAATTTCTAACGATAGTACATGTGATTTTTGTAAAACAGAATGGAAGAAGATAATTTACCTTGTTTTATTCCATGTTCATTTTTAAAAGATTTTGGGCGGTAGTAGAAAATCTTGAAACCAAACTCAATTTTAAAAACAAGATATCAGAAAAAAATGTATTTTTCATTAATTTAAAGAAATTAATATCATAGAATAATAAGGATATGTTGTCATACTTTATGTAATGTTTTTTATGATTATATTCTGAGTATTTTCCTGGCCACTCAGAAAGTATTACACAGGAATACTCCCCTAGCGTTCTGACAGTGAAGTAGAATTGAAACAAGCAATCTAAAGGATTAAGAACATATCTTTATTGTTAAAAAAAGAGAAAAATACCTCATTTCCAATACACTTGACTATCATCGATTATATCATGCAACAAAGATTATAATTCAAACTCGAAATAGAATACATGATTAATGTTGACGGGGGAGGCATGCAAAGCAGGATATATATAACCTATCAAAGTACTGTGATAGCTCAGTTTAGAATTGGTTCATATCCATGATATATCGTTATTTATTATTATATATCTTGAAATCGCTATAAATCATCTTGCAATTTGTCCTTTCTTTGGAAACTGAAATGTTAGTTTAAATCTTGCATTCTCAAAATTATTTAAAAACTATCATATCAAATGATGAGTAAACGTTTTATTGTCAATTTTAAAGGAAGATTAACACTTACATTCATTTAATCTTTCTACAGAGACTGTGCCTGTTTGTGGATGGGGATATATGACCTTTACAGTAGTGTGACACAGAGGCAAATCATACCTTGACACTACTTCTAATGTGATTATGATTTTAACTAGCAATAAAAAGAAATAAAAATGTTTTCCAACTGACTATCCTTGATTATAAAAAAATAATATCAAAGTATGGTTTGCATTGCTGTGTAAAATTTAAGGACTTTGACAATTGCCTACTTTTGATGTACTAAGTAGATAGTTTTACAATTGTCAAATTTGTTTGTGTAAATATACAAGTGGTTTTAATTTATACAAAAATCAGTGTCCACTTCTCTGGCCAAGTGCTACATGACAATATAAAGACACTAAACGGCGACACGTCATTATTGTTTTCTGTTTTATGAAAGTCTTGCTTTTAACGGTACTATGACTTTGACAATCTCTCTGAACAAAGATACCATTTGAATACTAAAAACCCAATATCCAGAAGAAAGCCCAGCATTTTCATTCAACATATTATTCTTAAATATTTGAATCGAGAAAGTGACAATATAAAAAATGATGAATTATATATATTGTATGATTGCTAATGAAAAAACTCTCCACATATGATTTTGACATTTAAAACGGCCATCTTGAAAAATGCCGCCTTTTTGAAATTTCAAAATTGGTCAATAGCTTATATTATTTATATAATCAAGGACTACTCGATTCCAAATTTGGTGCATTTATCATCAAACCCACACATTTTCTGCCGGACTAACAAGAGACCAAATGAAACAGAAATTAACAACTACATGTCTCCGAACGGCCTTCAAAAATGAGCAACATCCATACCGTATAGTCAGCTATAAAAGGCTCCGAAAAGACAAATGTAAAACGATTTATAAGAGAAAACTAACTGCATAATTTATGCATAAAATAATGAACGAAAAACAAATATAATACACAGAAAACAAACGACACTGAATTACAGGCTCCTGACTTAGAACTGGCACATATAGAATGTGGCGGGATTAAACATGTCAGCGGGCGCCTAAACCTTCCCTTATTTAAGACAGTGGCGTAACAGTTCAACATAAGCACAAACTGTGAAATCAGTTGAAAAAGGCTTTGAAGGTATGGGCTTTGCTCATCGTTGAAGGCCGTATAGTGACCTTTAGTTTTTAATTTCTATATCATTAGGTCTTTTGTGAAGAGTTGTCTCATTGGCAATCATACTCCATCTTCTTTTTTTTATATAAACTCATCAGATGGATATAAACAGTTTTACATATAACTAAAACGCAAGGTAGACGGGAAATGGTACAGTTGGCCTTTAATGAATGATTTGTCTGCTTTAAAGTAAAACAACCATCTTTTGCTAGAAGAAAATAGGAGATTACTTAGGTAAGGCTAAAGAACTGTGTCTGGTATATGAATGAACCTTACAATTGTGTAAATTATTAACCATACGGGTTGTTGTTAAGTAAATGTCGTGTATATCATAATTATTAATATATTAGGAAGATTCAACTTTCTTAACGGGGAATAAGGGAGCTATCTGGTATATTACACATACGGCCTTGACCACTGTTTGGCTATATTTTATATGTTGTGTTTTAGATTTGATATTTTAAGATTTGTCTTATATATTGTTTTAAAAAAGATTTTGAAAACCATTCTTTCATTGTAAGAAGCTTGAATCTAATAACAAAGTTATAATCCTAATTGCCTTTTTAAAATGAATCAACAATTATTTTATCCTATGTTGCATAAGGCTTATATGTAGCGATGCCAAAAGCGTTAACTATGATGAAAAAAGTCGAGGGAAAGTGTATATAAATCTCAATTATCAAATAATAAAGAAAGTTAATGTATAAATGGATGTTACAATAATTTCACAATAATTACTTACTAAGGAAGATCAAAATTTAATGTTTAAACAAATATATAACAAAAAATTACGATATACTTTAAAACAAAACTTACATTCGTGCACTTTTTCTGCAGACACCGTGCCTGTTTGTGGGTAAATATACCGTTCATTTACTGTAATAAGACAATATCATATTACGAATACACTTAACTATCATCGATTATATCATACAACAGAGTTAATATTTGAGACAAAATATAACATACATGAAATTTTTTGACGAGTGTGGCATGTGAAGCAGGAGATGTACTCTATCGAGGTATTGTGTTTACTCAATTTACAATTGATTCATTTGCACTTGACTATTAATACGTAAATGAATATCACTTTGAATTATTTAAAAATATTGTTTATATCTATATTATGTATTGGTATACGTCGAAAATGTGTAAAACAACATCACAAAAATATAAATGCATTAAAAAAATATCAATAATTATATCGGATAACTGATATCCTACATTAGTACGATAAACAATGAGTCGTAATAATCTTTATTCATTTTCGAAACAATCTGGAATGTAATATAAATTCAAAACCTAACAAAGCTGATAAAGCTGATAAAAAAGCTATTTGTGTAATTCTAGATCATGTGATTAATCATTTAAAAAAGATGGGAATGCGTAATTGTACATTCCAAATGACTCACATGTAGCTGATATGGTTAGCACTGTACTGTTTGAACTACACCTTTGATCCCAGAGTGATTTTCTACTACTAAGACCAAGCTGTATTGTAATTAATGTTAATAATAGCCACAATATTGAGACCTCTCTTTGTGTTGTCAAGAGGTCCTAAATGTCGACCGAAAAGACGGTCTTGCTTTTTGGTTATATACTACGATAGTCCTAAAGGCGTTCTTGAAATGGCTGTTGACCACATTGTCTCTATAGAAAGTACATAGTATTTGATGTCTTTCAGACACATGATATAACGTTTTGCATATATTTATCTAAAGTTCGTCATCTTGTTAATAGTTTTACCATGTCTAACATATCTATGTTTATCTATGGGTAACATCCATTATAAAACAAAAAAGCTGCAATTGTGTTTCTGGTACTGAAAATTCAGAAACGTTTGCGAGAAATGGGACAGTATTGGGTTCACAAAAAACAATCTCGAATTAAAGTTGCTATAGTATTATTCATATGTTATATATCTCGAAATCGCTATGAATCATTTCGCAATTGTGTCAATCCTTCAAAAATAACAATCATAAATATACAACTTTTTTAGATTAATCGTATAAAAGAACTTGTATATCAGACATGGGGCGAATTACATTGCAATGTATTGCATAACATTACCATTACTTGGACAAAACCATCATTATATTACATTTACAATTACATGTATTTTGGAAAGTAATGCATTAAATTACAATTACTTTTACCAAAGTAATGCATTATATTACACATTTCATTTGATTTTTCTTGTTTTCAAACGAAACATATAAACAACTTTTTATACTGCAATCTTGATAACTATTAAATAGGTATTATTAAAGTTCTTTCTTTTCCCTATGAGACCAAATGACAACAGTCAAACAAATGTGATGAGCTTCCTGAAGGTTCTACAGTTTTTGACATACATGGTCTGTATCAATTTAGATGAGAGATGTTTCCGGCTTGGAATTTGAAACTTTTGACTTTCAACCGTTGAAAATGGGAGTAAATCACTTCTAGCAATATACTGAAAAGTAAATCTACACCTTTACTTTGCTTTAAGTCATTTAATCAATATTTCTGAATACCAGATGGATTTACAAAGTTTGCCAAGGTAAAATGGTTTTTCTGGGTCAGGCTTATATATATTTCTTGGTATACATCTCTGTGTTTTCTCAAAAAAGAAATAACAGAAAGGTTGTCATGAATTCATTCTTCCATTATGTTTTTTGATCATATTGATAAATTAGTCTCAATATTAATTTACTACTTTAAAATCACAAATTCACTTGCCAAAAGAAAGGAATTGATTGCTATACAAACTAATAAGTGTTTTTTGTCAGATGTCAATTATTAATCATTCAACTTATTACTTTCATCTTTAAATGTATATGTATAGGTTTTTCAATTACTATAGTGGCGTATAAAAATGACTGCAAATAAAAAACAATAATTATATAAAATAGATCTGTTTTGATTATAAGTATAAATGTTTTAGTATCAAGGTAAGATGAAGAAAATCGTTATTTGTACTACAGTTCAAATTTAAATTTTTGTTAATTATCTA